ACGATCTACAATATTATATTCTATTTAGATTGTAATCTATTTATAGATTATTAACTAAATAGATTATGCAAAGTTTCTAAGCATGCTCTTGATACATGCATAGTACTTCATATTATTTACAGTGGATGGATTTTCTTCACCTTTTCTCCTTTTACTTTGTAACTCTTTACAAATACGGTCAGGTGACAGGGGTTCACAGGAGAAGAACGATTTAAGAAATTAAATGTTGCACATGATAAGTGACTAAGGTACATGTGTCCATAACGAAAACATGCATTAATTTTCTTTTACCCAAGGCTCTTCAAGTTTGCGTACCATCGGTGATTGGAAAGCTTCGATATGAAACATGTACCTTAATAGATGTTCTTAATAGAGGTTAGGTGTGATAAATTACCAAAGGGAAAATTAATTGAAAAATAGGTTTAGAGAGTTAATTGCGATAAGAAACTTCTTAAAAGATGATTTATGTAAAAATTAAAAATCAAATGTTGTTTATAGAAAAATGCTGTTTAAAATCCTATTTTAAAGGGAGATTGTATAAAAACCTATAGTAACATATATATGAAGGAAATTTGTAACAAAATAGCTGCAATTTTAAGAATTTTGCGTTGCTGTTCTAAAGAAAAAGAAAGAAAGAAAAAGAGAAAACTTTGTTCTACGAGTAATGATATATGTACGTAACAATTTGTGCTAATTTTTATACTAACACAAACATAAGAGTGGGCTCCAGAGCAACTTGTTTTCTTTATAATTTTTAAGAAAGGACCCCTACACATTTGTTAGTGGAGGCACAAAAGTAGTATAAACCCGAGTTATCATTTTTCTTTGTTCTGCTGGATTATTGGTGGTTGGAAATTATGGTTAAATGTGGAATAAAACAAAGAAATAATGATGTGCTGTAATTTTAAATTTTTCAGTCCACTGTTGTGCGTTTGAGAAAAGCTGTGCTTAAAGCAATATTTGGCCTATTTCGGTGCAAGGATCACAAGACCAAACTGTTTTCAGGAACAACATCACAGTACTCTGGTGTGCACCAACCCAGTACTGTTAAGATCTCCTCGATCTATAAAACCTTTCGGTCAAAGCAAAGATCTTCTCGATCTCAGAATCTTTCGATTCAAAACCTTTTGGTTTAAGGACAAGTTCCTGCGATCACAGTTTCTGCCGCAGCAACGTAACAGCAGCAGCATAACAGCAACAACAACAACAACGTCAAGATCTCCGATTTACGCATTTATAATAGGTTAGATTGGGTTGAATCAGTGGTCGAGTGATGTCGGGTCATCACCCATGATATCTGGTATGACCTCTACCTATGGTCAAAGGCTGTATGTAGCACAGCAGTAGAGAGAGAGAGAGATTTTTACCAAATTGATCTTTCTCTCACAGATAAGATTGAGTCACCAATTTCATCTTTCCGCCTCTTTCTCTCACAGATAATTCTCCGGTCACGTGGGCGTGTGGGCTCGACAATTAAGAAGAAGACAAAGGAAACAATATAAAAAGATAAAAAGGACCAAAAAAGATACCTATCTTTTGTTTTTTTTTCGTCACAAAACCCTGTTTAACTTTGGGGGTGTTGCCTCTGAACTATTGGGCATCTCACCAAACCCTTATTTCACTTTAACCTCTTCCATGTAATTTATAAATAACCAAATATTTTAAGAGGAAAAAAAATTTAAACTTTATGAAAAAGAGTATGTTGTATTTAAATGATAGGTGATAAAGTTAAAAAAAAATTCATTCAAAAATATTTTAGTTATTTGTAAATTATACACAGAGAGGTTAGGTGAGATAAGCGAAAGTTTGAGGGTTTTATGAGAACGGATAATTTAGAGGGGTTAAGTGAGATAAACAAAGCGTAGAAGGGTTATGTGCAAGTTTTATGGTTTTCTCCTCGTCTTTACTCACCCACCGCCTCCGTTAGAGGGGTTAAGTGAGATAAACAAAGTGTAGAAGGGTTATGTGCAAGTTTTATGGTTTTCTCTTTTTCTTTACTCACCCACCGCCTCCGTTTTCCCATCTGTGTTTTTTATTTCTATAATAATAAAGCATTTTAGACTAAGGAGAATTTTTTGAAATAGACCAGTTTTGAAAAATATTTAGCAAAACCGATCTTTTTGCTAAATATTTAGCAAAACGGACTTTTTTTTTGTTAGCTCACCAAAGCTTGTCAAAAAAGGTCGTTTTTGCTGAATTTGTATTTTAAAACACACATAACTAGTAGTCCCGTATGTTTAGTGGCCACTAAACAAAACTCAGAAAACCCACGAGACTACTAGTCCCGTAGGTTTTCTCTTCACAAATACAAAGCCAATCACTAAACTTCCACTCCGACAAATGCAACTGCCCCATCAAGTCGACCCTCCTCCAAACCCTCCGGCAATCCCTCTCCCCATCCTCCGACAACCCCCCATCATCGTCTCCGGCGGGGCTCTAATATCATCCTCCGACCTCTTGTCCTCCCACACCTCCACTATGCTCTCCCACTTTCCAGGCCTACTACCATGCCCTGACCTCGCCATGACGCCTCCCAACTCCTCTCCCCACTCCCCCGGCGCTCCCCGCTTGAGATCCCCTTCCTTTGGCTCGACGACTTCCACCCCTCCCTCTTCACCAACCTCCTCTGGACCCTCACCATCTCCTCCTCCTCCTCCTCCTACCAATCCCTCGTCATCCCCAAGATCGAGCAGCTGAAGCGGGGGATCCGCCTCATGACCCCTTCCATCGTCGACATGTTCCTCGACGCCCAAGCTCTTGGCATGTACCCCTGATTAAAAAGGCCGATTTTGTATTTGTGAAGAGAAAACCCACGGGACTAGTTGTCCCGTGGGTTTTTTGAGTTTAGTTTAGTGGTCGATTAGCGGCCACTAAACGCATGACACTACTAGTCATATGTGTTTCAAAACCCAAATTCAGCAAAACCAACCTCTTTTTAGGCGGCTTTTTGTGAGCTTGCAAAAAAAAATCGGTTTTATTAAATAATTTCTAAAACCTGCCTATTTCAAAAAAAAAAAAAAAATCCTTTAGACTAATTATATTGAGGGAAAAATTACAAAATAGACTATTTTTGCTAATTATTTAGCAAAATAGACCGTTTTGCTAAATAAGTAGCAAAATAGACCTTTTTTTTGCCAACAGGCCAAAAAGAGGTCTATTTTGCAAAACAGCTCAGAAAACATACGGGACTAGTACTCCCGTATGTTTTAATCACGGATTAGTGAAATTTTCTACTCAGAAAACATACGAGACTACTAGTCTCGTATGTTTTCTGAGTCACTAATCCGTGATTAGTTGGCTCTAAACATACGAGACTAGTAGTCCCGTATGTTTTCTGAGTCTTGTTTTTCAAAATCGATCTCTTTTTTTCAAAAGAGGTCTATTTTGCTAATTATTTTTTAAAGTGATCTATTTCGCTATATATTTCATAAAAATGGTCTATTTTGCAAATTTTCCCTTATATTGATGAATAGAACTGTTGGGGATGGGAATGGGTTGGCCCTGTAGATGGGGCCAATGGGTTTCTTTGTTACTTTTGATTGATTGATGATGAATATGAGCAGATGAATAAGAAGGCGGTGGCTAGCTCGAGCTAATTCGAGTTCAAGCTCCTCCTTTGTGTGCATATATATATATATATATATATATATATATATATAATATATAATATATATATATATTACCATCCTCACTCGATCTCCTGGTGCAGCTCGATCCGCCTTGCTCCCGTTGTGTTTTCATCGTCTTCTTCTTCTTCAATAAACCCGTGTTGGGTTTGGGTTCTCTTTTCGGGTTTTATGTCCAGCCCGCAACGCCTCAAGTTTCATCACCCTCCTTTACTTGATTTATCTACTTCATGTGTTCCTGGTTTCAAGTGATTACACGAGAGAGAGCTACAGAGAGGGGGGCGGAAGCTGCGAGGCAGCTTGTTTAATTAATTACTCGATCTAGCTCCCTTCTGCGCTTCTGTTCCCATAATTGCTTGCTTTATCTAGAGACTACCCGATCCTCTCATCGATCACTGCCTGTCCCCCCCACCCTGCATCCAAATCCCCTTTTCTTGGTTTTTCTTCTCTTTTGTTGTCTGCTGGGATAAGCTACAGCCGAGATCGCATTACAAAAGTGGGATTTTTGAAACTTGCTATATTTAGGAAAGCTACGGCCTTTGATTACGGGGGCTTTTGATTTGCTACGCGCGCGCACCCACATACGTATGCGTATGTATAGCTATAGCTTGGTGGTTGGTTAGTTAATTTGTTGGGCAACATAACATAATATAATACATATACATATTGCTCGATCGCTTCTCCGTCTCTTCTGATCTCTTTGCGTTTCGGAGAGAGGCCGGGGGTAGAAGACATGTCGTCATCAAGGCCCCCAGTCATCCAGTAGCTCGAACAGGGCAGCCACGTGCTGGATCATGCGCAGACACCGTGGATGGCGAAGCTCGCTGCGGAGTTGAGGAGAGGCACTTCCTTCGACTCTCCCACTTCCTTGCGCCATCTCGAGTCGTTGCCCGGCCAGCAGCAGCAGCAGCAGCGCACAGCAGCAGCCGGAGAATCCGAGAAGTGCGGCGTACCTGCAGCACTCCAGCCACACAACGGCAGACTTGTAGCGAGCTGGAGGAAGCCTCCATCGTTTTGCTGTTCGGTCTCATCTGGGCATCGTCCGCACGAAGGGCACCTTTACAGGCTCGTCATCGCCTACAGTCTCGGAATGCCGTCACGACTGCGTCACGACGCCGTCAGCACGCTCCCAGGTCGTAGGCGACCTGCCTACCTCGGCTCACGCAAGACGTCAGTCTCCTGCTTACCTCCCACCAGCGCTCAGCCATATGCAAGCCTCTGGCTTCCCGACGCCTGGCCAGCGTGTCTTTAGCCCGCATCCTCGTCCGCGGGCAAGGGACTCGGGCGAACCCTTCTACGCCATCGTCATAGGGTCACGCCTGCGCTCCGTCTGGGAGACTTCGAGAGGACCGTGACGACCTCCGACGATCGCCGATGGACGCCGCCGGGGCCCTCCAGGGCCTACAAGCTCGCCGCCAATGCCATTAAAAAAGGCCAGATCCCAGTCCCTGCGGGGGAGATGGAGACTCTGCAACCGCCGTCGTGGAGGAGGTTCGAGCCACCGGCTATGACAGGGCCATGGCCTACAGTGTTTCACGAGGACGACCGGCGACGTCTTCTCGAGGTCACGAAGCTGCCCTCGCACCTTACTCGCCTGCACTACCCGGGCCACGATCTCAGGCCGCAGTTCTCTTCATGAAGAGCAAATTCGGATGAGCTGGCTGCGCGCACCCGCAGATGATTAGGACGAGAAGCTTGCCCTTCGACATTACCTTTCTGCGGTTCTACGCGAGGGCCCCCCACAGCTGCCACTGCCCAGTACATGGGAACATGAATTTCGGATCGCGTCCTGGTCATGCGGTTGGTGAACGAGGGGGGCGAGGACGAGGGGGAGGCTCTCGCAGCAGCAGCAGCAGGGGGTAGGAAAGAGGCTTCTGGGCTGGGCGGCTGTGCACAATGAGAGCGGGCATGATGTTCGTTCCCCCGAGATCGCTTCCGTTCCTGATGCAGTGTTCGCCATCCATGTGACAAGGATCGACGACGAGCACCGATTACGGAGAAGAACATACGCCGCACGCAGACGCTCTGGTGCACCTGCTTCGAGAGGCCGGCCCCTCGATGTGACTGCCCAGAGCCCCAACTCACCATTTGGTTAGATGCGACGGGGTGCCCTCCTCTTACGAGAACAAAATCTGGCGTCTCGGCGGACCCACGCATCTGAGATCCGTGACATCGTCCTACTGGTCGCGGTACCCACGCCGACTCGGACCGGTTTGAGCACCACAGCCTGCTTGATGCCTGTCCGGGCGCTTTGCTCTTTTTTTATCGCGAGACCTGGTCTGCGGGCGACTGGCCGCGGCGAGGATAAACTCCAGGGACATCCTCTTCTGGTTCAGGTCGCATACTGCCGCAGAGGTCAGATGGGGAGGCGCCAAACACGACCCCTCTGACGAGGACGACGGGAGGAGGATGCACCCTAGGTCATCTTTCAAGGCTTTCCTAGAGGTCGTGAAGACGAGGAGCCTGCCCTGGAGCGACTACGAGATGGATGCTATCCACTCGTTGCAGCTCATCCTCAGAGGGAGCTTTAATGATGTCAAGAAGAGCGAGGATTTGGATTCTCGGGTGCGCAGCCTCAGGGTGCAAGGGATGGAGGAGCTGCAAGCCGTGACTAATGAAATGGTGCGCTTGATCGAGACGGCCACTGTGCCAATCTTGGCGGTGGACGTTGATGGCGTCATAAACGGTTGGAACCTGAAAATTGCAGAATTGACTGGCCTGTCCGTAGATGAGGCCATAGGGAAGCATTTGCTCGCGCTTGTGGAGGACTCTTCCGTGGCACAAGTAAGGAGGATGCTTCTTTTGGCTTTGCAAGGCAAGTTAATTTGTACCTCCTTATTTGTTTGTTTTTCTCAAGTTTTTACCTTTCGTAGTCTACGGTCGTTCCTATAGGATGATGTCGTTGTTTTCCGTAGCTTGGTTTCTACGATGTGCGCGGAAATGCGAATATCTGATGCCTTGAACTTCCTTTATTTTATCAGGAACGGAAGAACAAAATGTCGAATTTCAAATGAAAACTTGCGGTGACCGGGGAGATGATGGTCCGGTTGTCTTGGTTGTGAACGCTTGTGCTAGTCGCGACCTCAATGAAAAAGTCGTCGGGGTGTGCTTCGTGGCTCAAGACGTGACCTTCCATAAGTCGATTATGGACAAGTTCACAAGGATCGAAGGGGATTACAAATCCATAGTGCTGAGCCCAAACCCGTTGATCCCTCCCATATTTGGCGCAGACGAGTTTGGTTGGTGCTCCGAGTGGAATCCTGCCATGGCTAAGCTGTCAGGATGGCGGAGGGAGGAGGTGATGGATAAGATGCTGTTGGGGGAGGTTTTTGGGACGAATTTGGCCTGTTGCCGTGTCAAGAACCAAGATGAATTCGTGAACCTCAGTGTTGTAATCAATAATGCCATGACAGGCCATGACATTGACAAAGCTCGGTTCAGTTTTATTAGAAGAAATGGGAAGCCAGTAGAATGTCTGCTCTCAGTTAGCAAGAAAGTGGATCGAGAAGGAGCAGTGACCGGGGTCTTTTGTTTTCTCCACATCCCCAGCTATGAACTGCAGCAGATTCTCCATGTGCAGCAGCTGTCGGAGCAATCAACAGCAAAGAGATTGAAGGCCTTGTCTTATATCAGGCATGCCATTCGGAATCCTCTTTCAGGTGTTATGTACTCTAGAAAACTGATGGAGGGAACCAACTTGTGTGACGAGCAAAAACGCCTCCTGAACACCGCGGATAAGTGTCACCTTCAGCTTAATCGGATTCTTGACGACTTGGATCTTGATAACATCACGGACAGGTACTCATCGGCTTCTTGTCTATATAATAACTGTAATGAACATTACTTCTGCTTCATGATCGTCGATCTCTTCAAACTATCATATAGCTTACCACGCCCGATTCAAGGATAATTCATATAGTTTTCGGCGATAACTCCATAAGGCTCTCTCTCTTTTATTTATTAAAAAAAAACCCATCTCTGATCTAGTGTCTGAACCTGTTATTGTTTTGTGGTCTACTATGTTTTTTATTTTGAATATTATGAACAGTTCCTTGGAGCTGGAGATGACAGAGTTTGTTCTTCAAGATGTGATGGTTACCGCCATAAGCCAAGTCATGATAGCGAGCGCAGGGAAAGGAATTAGAATAATTCACGAGGCATCTGATGGATTCATGAACGAAGGTGTCTATGGGGACAGCGTGAGGCTTCAACAGATTGTTGCCGATTTCTTGGTGGTTTCTGTTCAATTCTCACCCAGCGGGGGTCAAGTGGAAATTGCTCCTAATTTGGTCAAAGGTCGCCTGGGTGAAAACCTCCACCTGGTACATCTGGAAATCAGGTAATGCATGGAACTGTTGGCCCCTGTTCATTTTCTTACTTAAGATAAATATAGGGCTAGGTGAAGGCTGATGTTTAGTTGGAACTAAGCGTAAAGTATAGGATCTCAATTTGTATCCTGTAAAACCTTGTTTCCCTTGAACTCGTATACCAGTTATGCCGGTTAACCTGATACATTGATAAGGTATAATTCTGAGTTTCCTCAAAATAAAATCCTGACATTTGATTCTGTACATTAAGTTGCCTGCATCTTGTTTGTGTGGCTTCTGTATAAACTTGTTTCCCAGCATCTCAACAGGTTCTTCTTTTTACGACCTTATATGCGCATGCGTACATGTGTGTGCGCGCGCATGTGCGCGTGCGCGCGCGTGCACACATGCATGCATGCTTGTGTGTGTGTGTGTGTTCTGATGAGGATTCCAGGTTCAGATAAGAGGAACAAACAGGGTGTTAAGTAGAAACATATCATTACTCTCATAATGCGGATGACCTAATATGATAAGAAATTTGTTTGCTGAAAGAAATAAATTTAAAAGAAAAGAAGTCTAATGTTATGGCATACCATAACAATTTAACATGTCTGGTTTCTTTTTGTGGTTCAGGATAACACACACTGGCAGCGGGGTGCCTGAAGAGCTGCTAGCCCAAATGTTCGGAAGTGAGGAAGAGCAAACGGATGAGGGAGTTAGCCTGCTCGTGTGTTGGAAACTGCTTAAACTCATGAATGGAGATGTTCACTACCTTCGCGAAGCAGACAAATCGGCTTTCATCATCTCTGCAGAGCTGGCTTCTGCCTCTAAACCCAGGGCCACGATGAATATCTTTTGATAAGACATATGTTTAAGAGCTGTATGATCACGGAGCTATGATTTTCAAAGATGCGTCGTTACGTCTAGTTTTGTGTTATGAGAGTAGTTTTCTGGAGTAGTACATTTTGAAGATATGTTGTTATGATCCAGCTTTGTGTCAGGAAGCAAGTAATTTTCCTCTTCCTGCTTGATTTATCACTGGTGCTATTTGTGAGCTCTCTGTGTTGATTAATATCCATTTCTTCATCCCATTCAGCAAAGTGATACTTGGAATTAAAGTTCCTTTCACTCAGCTGCACCGTTCATCTTTTTTTTTTCACTCTGGGGTATATCCATTTGATTTCCTTGTCAAGTACTAAGCTGACTCAAAGGTATCCATCGCTTCAGTTTGGAGGGATCGCTTCAGTTTGGAGGGATAAATAATTGTATGTATAGGCTGTTAAAAAAATTACTGCAGATAGTTGGTCCCTGCAAAAAACTGGCGATGAAAGTTACAATTTGACGATTTTCACGACAACAGATGAGAGTTACAATTTGACGACTCTCATACTTCAAAAAGCTAAATGTAAAGATTACAAAATGACTATCTTTGCAGAACTTGAAAAAGAGATTACAATTAACGACCTCTTCAAAGCAAAACACGAGGGTCCACCCACCCCCACGCTCCAACTCCAAAACGCGATGGTCTACCCCCGCGTTTCAATTCCAAAATGCGAGGGTCATCCCTGCGTTTTAACTCCAAAACGCGAGAGTTACCCCCGCGTTCCAATTCCAAAACGCGAGGGTCATCCCCGCGTTTTAACTCCAAAACACGAGATCACCCTCGTGTTTCACAAAGTTGAACGCGAGACTCGCTTCAGAACGCGAACCTCGTGTTTGACTGTTTCAAACATGATTTGAACGGTTTCAAAACCGTTTTTTTTCACATAATAGGGCGATTAAGCCCCTATTATGGAGCGAATTAAACCCTATAAATAGCTGAGAAGTCAGCTGAATAAAAGACCTTTTTTGAATCATCTTTGAGTTGGCTTTGGTTGGAGCTTTTGGAGCTTTGAAAGCTTAGCTTTTCGAACCATTTTCGGTTGAAGAGCTTTGAAATCAGCTGTTTAGCTTATTTTAGTTGAAAAGGGATTAAATTTTCTTTCTGAAATTAACTCTTTCGCAGAGTTCTTAAACTCGTTTAGTGTTCTCAAACTTGCTTTGCAAGTTTCTCCCAAGACGCCAAGTTAAGAGGAGTGGAAAACGTTCCACGAAGTGAGGTGCTTGGATCGTCAACGAGATACAAGATTCAAGCTCTCATCGCCACCAAGAAGAACCCAAAATTAAACAAAGGGAAGGATCTCCGTTGATCTTTCTCTCTTTTGTAAATCGGGAAACCGATAAAGAAAATTGTAATTTTTTTTAAGTCAGTTAGAGAGAAGTTACTTTGAGAGATTATATTCATTCTTTTCCTAAGTCAGTTAGAGAGATTAATACAAATTTATTTCTCAATTTTCTTACAAATTTTCCCGCAAACAGTACGCATCTAGTATTAATATGCTTGTAGATGTAGAATAAAATGCAAATTGAGATGAAGGTTCTGATGTTGGCGGCGTTCTTGTATATTTTTGTAGATGTGCAATAGCTAACCTAACCGTGACATTGTTATTGTTGTTAAAACCACTATTGTCTTAAAAAAACTAATATTACGAAAACCATGGTCGGGACTGTAGAAATCCTACACGGCTTTATGTTATCCGTTAGAATCGGAATAGATAGTGAGAATTGGGGGTAATTTGGTTCTTTTTTAAAATTTCCCACTTATTAGTGAGCAACGAAGCGGTACAGATGGTGAATTGTACGTTTCCTCCGTAATCTATGCTATCAATAAATACCTAATCCTCCCTTGGATCGATTTATCACGATGAACCAAATAATTAACAAATAGTTCGATAATTGTTCGAATAAGTATTCAGTCATATTCGATTCGGTAGTTCATTTACCACTAAACAAATATTTTTTAGTATTCGAGTTTACTAACGAATAGAATTTAACCAGATTCGTTTGTCTATTAAATATTCGTTTAAAATTTGATCATAATTTATTACTTGTATTATTGCACATATGATGTCATATTTTTAACCCACATATCATTTATACTTAAGTTTTATATATTGATTTTAAGATTTAAATAATCTTAAAATATGTTTTCTAATTAAAATTTTAATTTAAATATATATACATCATATATTATAAATGAATATATTTTATTTATGAATTCTAATACTATTAGAAAATCAAATTCTTTAGCGGTATAAATATACTTTGATATTCGATAAGTATTCGTGAATATTCATGAATATTTATCAAATACCAAGTATTCGAGTTCGAATTCGAAAAACTAGATATATGAATATTAGAGTTCATATTCGAATTCAATAATTTTAAACAAATACAAATACGAACATCTTAGTATTCGATTCGATTCGATCGTTTACCACCCCTAGGCGCAACAGCAATTAAACCCAATTAGAAATGTGGAAAATCTAAAACATTTATAGGCTGCAGGCTCTGTGTGGGCCGGTGGATTAATGGGCCGTCATCCATGACAGAAACAAAAAGCGCAGGGCTACTGTTATCCTTAGCTGCTGCTTCTCTGCTCTCCTCTCCCCAAGGTTGAAGAAGCAGAACAAAAAACCCTGCGGTGCTGTGAATCAACTGCATCTCTAATAATCTCTGTCTTAAATGGGCTCTGCTGCTGCTACTACTCCTCAATTCTTGTCAATCTCTTCTTCTTGTTCTTCTTCTTCTAAGTTTCCCCTCCACTCCGCCGGCCACAGGTTTGGGATTTCTCGGGAAAACTGGAACCGGAACGACTCCGACGGCAATGGGAGGAGGAATAGGAATAGGGAAAGGAAAAAGAATTTGGGGCCATGTGTAAAAGCGTACAAGAGAGTCCCAATGGAGACGCCTGGGGCTTATCAGCTCGTCGACGACAAAACCGGCGACAAAGTCATCATCTGGGGAGGAGCTGACGATGACGACCATTCTCATCGGCAGCAAGCCCTCTCGTGAAGCCCAAGCCCCAACAAGGAGACGAAGCTCCGGGTAATTTAACACCCTCTTTCTTCTCCTTTTAATCAATCAACCAGTCAGTTAGTCAGTTAGTTAATTTACAGCGACTGGGGCAAAGGATGCGGCTGCTGCTTTGCCGAGGGAGGCTCACTCGGAAGTTTTGCGAGGCTGAAGTCTCCGAAGGTGAAGGAACTGATCCGGAAGAAGAAGTCTTCTGAGGCCAGTAACACTGTTGCTGATGCCGGTAGAAAGGTAGTTGCTGATGGGCTCAGAAGAGAGAGGAACGATGATAAGGTTAGGGACGAGGAAACCAAAAAGTTGCCTGCCACCGTCGTCAAACAGCCTCAGGATGTGGAAGAAGCAGCAGCTCCAGAATATGTGCGTGCGCCTGCTCCTAGGGCTGCTTCCGGACTACGAGGGTGGGTCCGCGCTGCTCCTTCTGAACGAAGCAACGATGACACTCTCTACCCCAAGCACCAGAGGAAAATGCCGGTGGATAGTGGGTTTTTCAGCAGAAAAACCTTCAAAGAATTGGGTTGCACTGGTGATATGATTGAGTCTCTCAGGAGCCTGTCTTTCCTACGGCCTTCGCATATCCAGGTAATGCCATATGCAAACGGGCCGCCTTATCTTGTGAAGTTACTAACGGCCTGAACGATGGAGTTTGCATAACCAAAGTGAAACCTTTTGATTGATAAGCTATGATCCTTTGCTGTATTGTTCAGTACCCAGCTCCGTCTAAGGTTCATGCCTTATCTGGACACCTAACCTTGAGAGTGAACCCTGACTTGAATTTCAATAACTAGTGTTCTGCTACGTCTTATGATTCTTTTGGCGTCTCTTGTGTGAAAAATTAGCATGCTGTTTGCATTCAGCTAAGAGCATGTTTGGCAAGTAGTCAAAAAGTCTTATAAGCCACACAAAAAATGGATTACAATCCACTTTCAGATGTTTGGCAAGTGGATTACACGCCATAAGCTTCTTTGACATTGTAAAGGACAGATATACCCTCACCGTTTAACAAAATTTCAAACCCCATTTTGTTTGCGTCGAAAAACTTTTTCATTGCTGAATCCATTATAATTGTTTATCAATTACAGACTCAAGAGAGTTAATATTTTTATAAGATCTCTAGTTACAACGAAAATAAACAAATGAGATCTCCTAGAAACACACGCAGGATCGTTTATCTGTCACTGCTTGCGTGAGATCTTTGCCTGTGCCGGGGACGCTTTGATCCGTGGACCGCCAAGTATCAGATCTGGATTGATGCACACGAAGGCTTAGTGTTTGTTGTTTCAATCGAGGAAACTTAGAACTGAAGTAGATAATCTCAACCAAGTAAGATTATTACTCTTTTCAAGATCAAAACAACGTCTGATCTCGAGGGAAGGATGAAAAGGGGCTTCAGATCTCTCGAAATCTTCCTCTTTATGTTGAAGTTCGCCGAGATCTCGCTAGCCTCTCTCTGAAATTTATAGGTTTTATTCTCACATCGTCAGCACCTCACCTCAAAGCTCTAAATTTCAGATCCCCCGTGTATAGGGGCCATAGGGGTGTATTTATAGGCTTCAGATGCTGTGTTTTTGGATAAGAATTTATGATTTGATCTTATTTTCAATTAATAACGGCTTAACCATGTTTAGGGATGATCCCAATACAGTTAGGGAGCCGGTAGATCGAACGAATCCTGAGAAAAACACGTCATTGGGAACTTCACTGTGGGAGTCACCTCAACGTGACTCGGCATTGTTCTGGGTCACATTGAGGTGACTCGGAATTTCAGAGTCACTTCGAGGTGACTTGAGATTTTCCGACTTTCCAGTTTTGGTCCTGTGTCGTTGTTTTGCGCATGTTTCGACATTTCCTTGACTCGTACGCTTCGCCGACTCGCTTCGTGCGCTTGTTTGCTTCTTTATGGCATCAAATAATCCTCTTTGACTCGGATAATGACGTTCATCACATTCCCTTCGTCTCGAGCTGCGTGCGGTAACCTGTAAGTAATTTTTGACGCCTACACATTTATCACACAACTAGCTCTCTCCAACCCCATTAAGATCATTTTGACAACAATGATGAATTATAATCCCCCCATTTGCAAGACACTCTACCGGTGAAAATGGATTATAATCCACTGAATTTACTGAACATTCTCAATTATAATCCACATGGTTTTATAATCCAACTAGATGCTATTCCAAAGTTGCCAAACATTTTCTTTAACTATTCTATTTCTTCTTCCAAAATCACGGATTAACTTCCTTTATTTTTCAAGTTTATTTATCTTTTACACTCCATACTGTAGACATTGGCAACCTATTGTGTTAGTCACATTTTTGTTGCTTTTGTTGAGACGTATCTTTGGTTTTTGTAGATAAATTCCCGGTTAATAAAATTCGTTTTAGATGAGGCTTGCACCCAATTCTCACCCTTATCCTTGCCTAAGCTGGTCAACAAGGTGTAACTTTGGCACATCAACAACTTTCCGTTGACCTTACAATTAGCGAGTCTTCTTTTTGCCAAAGATGAAGCGATCGTACACCCTGGCGATTCTATTTACATTGCTCATCTCAAAATACTACTCATTTTTAGAAGCTTTTCTGCTTTTATGGTTCATCTTGCCTCAAATTCTTTTTCTACAACCTTGGTGTGTCATTGACTTCCTTCCACGAGATTACTTTGTTGTCAATGGGCATATTAGGAAACTTATGGATTGCTTGGTGTGTCATTGACTTCTCCTATTAATTGGAAACTTACAGGTCTCAGTGAACGCTGGCCTGAAATATTTTTGTGTCACGATGCTGACATATAATTTGTATTTGTAATTTTGTAATTGTAGGCCTTGGCATATGCTCCTGTATTACAAGGAAAAAGTTGTGTTATTGCTGACCAAAGTGGATCTGGTAAAACACTGGCATATCTCATCCCTATCATACAACGGCTAAGACAAGAAGAACTGCAAGGGCTTGGTAAATCTTCATCAAGCAGTCCTCGGGTTGTGATTCTAGTACCAACTGCAGAACTGGCTTCTCAGGTTGGTTTTGCATAGAAATTGTTAAGTCATTTTTGCTCTTTTGTATGCTTATCTCGCTAATTTTTTACGTTATCACATTTGTGGGCAATGCCGACCACAAACGTTTGGGATAAATGCTTTGTTGTTGTTGTTGTTGTTGTTGTGAGCATATATTAACTTGTCTTTCCTAAGAGATGTATTGAGCTTCTTTCGCTTTGCATGTCCAGAAGAAAGGTAGATAGTGTTTGATGAGCGCTTTAGTTGAAGTTGTGATATAAAATTGGAAAACCTCACTTACTATCTCATTCCTGCAAGTCAAAATAGTTGCCAACATTCTGATACAATAATTCATTACTAGTTTTATAGAAGTTAATCTACAAAACATTATTCTCCATGGTTTGTATAACACACATATTAATACTTGGGTTCTTATTATGTATATCGCACATGATTTATCGGAGATGTGGTGGATATCCAATTTGCATGTCAGTTTCATTTTTGTGCTTGTCAGGCAAATGATGGTTTAACATGTCTTGACTTCTCTTAAAAAAACTTAAAATATATTAAGTAATGTTGTATGATGTGACAGGTGCTTAATAACTGTCGTTCAATATCAAAACATGGTGTCCCATTCCGGTCTATGGTTGCGACTGGGGGCTTTCGACAGAAAACACAGTTAGACAGTCTTAAGCAGGAACTGGACGTACTCATAGCAACACCTGGTCGCTTTATATACCTGCTCCAAGAAGGCTTTGTGCAACTTGCTAGTCTTAAATGGTAAGGTCCTTCAAAGCCTCAAAATTCCGTTATCTTTAGATTTATTTTTCGGTGTGGTACTCAGGAGTTTGAAATTGCTGAATTTTGGATTTGTTTTAGTAATGAGCGGTGACTTATTTGATATCTGACAGTGAGTCAGCAATATCATAATCATTAGTTACTGCAGAAAGATTTTATTTTGTTTCTCCGTAGAGCTTCTGGGAACCAGAACAGATGTACTGAGGGAAATTGTAAAGACTATGCTTTCGTCTGTTCTAATGTTGTATAAAACCACAACTAATTTTTGCCAGTATGGTTCCTTTAGATTGTTGATTTTAAGGGGTTTAAGGATATCCTCTAATACCATGAACTAAATTACTATTTGCAAAAGTTAAGGCCACAGGGAGTCGTCATTCTTAATAAAATGGGGATGACTAAGAAAATAAGGCAGATGTTCTTCACATTTGTAAGCTTAATATCCATAATCATACGACTAGAAATTCTCTTCTGGATTCGATGTTCTTATTATACCTTTGTTAGCTTGAACTGATGCAATTATTCTTTTTGTTGCACCCAGTGTTGTGTTAGATGAAGTAGATATCCTTTTTGGTGATGAAGGATTTGAACAAGTGCTTCAAAGCTTAATAAGTTCTGCACCCATGGAAGCACAATATGTATTTGTTACCGCAACTCTTCCAGTGGATATCTACAACAAGCTGGTGCAGATCTTTCCGGATTGCGGAGTAACCATGGGACCGGGTATCCATCGTACAAGCTCTAGACTGGAAGAGGTTGGTTTTATGGTTTTTTTCCCCTGTTCACTAGACTAAACGAGTAGGACAGTTTCATAGACCTTAGCCTCTTTAACTGACCAAGACAAGTTCGCCATTTTCAAACTATTTATAGCTCTGTCATGCCTTGAAACTTTTCTTTGAATTGAACTGTTTGGGATCTATGTGCAGGTTCTAGTGGATTGCAGTGGAGAAGGGATGGAAAAGAATCCTGAAACAGCTTTCATCAACAAGAAGTCTGCCCTGCTGCAGCTTGCAGAAGAATCTCCCGTCGCTAAAACTATTGTGTTCTGCAATAAAGTATGTTCTACTCTTATCTCTCTCTTTATGCATACCATTCAATTTATCAGTTACTCTTTCAGTGCTATTGAGCACAGGATAATTAGTCATTAACATAAGCCTTTGACAGTGGCTGCGGATATTCCCAGTGTTAGATTTCATCATCTATTTTGGTTCTCCAAGGAATAACAAATGAGGATTTATTTTCTTTCATTTTTCCTCTTTCTTTTTGATACATTCGCTAGATAAACCAGTTTCCCATCTGTATTAATTCTGAATCTATTATTATTGTTATTATTTGTTGTGGCTGCAGATTGAAACCTGCAGAAAGGTTGAGAATGTGTTGAAACGGTTTGACAGGAGTGGGCTTCACATCAAAGTCTTGCCATTCCATGCGGCTTTGGCACAAGATGTACGCCGCGCAAACATGAAAGAGTTTCTCAATTCAAGGTCTAGAGATTCAATGTTCCTTATCTGCACGGACAGGTAATATATGAACCGTGCTATGCCCTTATGTCAAGTCACAAGTTGCATCTTATAGATTCTATTTTTACCTTAACATACCAATCCATTTTCTGGATTACATAATTGTACCCTGATTATTTTCAAATTACTCTGGCATGTGAAAATAATGACAGTCCCGTAATGTTTTAGTTTTGGTCAAAAGCATAATTGATCATGCAGTCACCATGACCCGAGGATATAGTACTATAGCCTATAGGTCATCAGACTTTCTGTTTTCAACAACCGTTAGGACCTTGCTTTTTTCCTATAGAACCATCTCCTGTGAGAGTGTGAGGTACCTGCTACTTTTCCTAAATAAATTTAGCAGAATGCTTAATGGTTAGGACCTAGAAGGTTCAGAAGGCTATCCTGTCTCATATGACCATCTAATCCTTGGAAATTAAAAAGAAAATGGGGGCGAAAAAAGGAAAGTATATGCTTAATTAGGGCCCAGTCAATTAATATCACATTTTTGAAATTTCACCACCTATAAATAAATAATAGTCAAAAATAAGTGCCTACGTTACATTTTCTGTACTTTGCATCCTGCTCTCAATCGGACAGAACAAAGTAACGGACTTTAATTTGAGATTTTGCGTTGTAAGGCCTGACCTTGTTTCTTTTAACAGAGCATCGCGAGGAATCGACTTTCCCAATGTAGACCATGTCGTGTTGTTTGATTTTCCTAGGGATCCAAGCGAATATGTCCGTCGTGTTGGGAGGACTGCTCGTGGTGCCAAGGGTGAAGGCAAGGCATTGGTATTTGTAGTGGGAAAACAAGTGTCCCTGGCAAGGAGAATCATGGAGAGAAACAAGAAGGGACATCCACTTCACGATGTGCCTTCTGCATATGAACTAGAGAGTTCTGTACTATAGGATGGTTTGTTACTATTTTCATCAGCAAATGTGTGCTTAACTTCTGGTCCCTAAGGTAAAATTAAAATAAAAATGTATGCTTCTTTTGTAAGAGAAAGAAACTCTAATTGACTATACAGTACATGTAAGCACAGTCACGAGTATTACTCTGAGCAACCATACAGCAGAACAAAAGTATCAACTCAAATGAGCTACACAGGTGAGAACTGAGCAAAATTATTTGATAGTAGATTTAGAACAGAGACAGCCCTAAACTGAGTAAATGAAAGTGGGTTTATTCCGCTTAGTTCTTTTATCTGGAAGCCTTTACTACCGAAGCCAGATTTTGAGCAGTATCTGTAACTGCACCTTCACAAATGGAAAAGCCAAATGGAATATGAATGAAGAAAAGAACCGCATAAAAAGCCAGAAAAACAGCCAAGCATGTTTGATTCTTGCCAGTAGTGTTACCTCTTAAGTGTTTTCTTCAGTGACACTCTGAAATAAGTGGAACTGAGCATTCTGCAGGAGAGAACGAGCTGCTTCATTGGATGCATCAAGCAAGCGCAGTTCCTTGATCTCCTCTTGCCACTTCTCCACTTGGTCCCTGTGAATTCTATGAGCAGGTAAAACAAAAATCAAGAATAATGTGTTAATTTTATTGGACCATAATTAGGAGGAGTTAAGTTTCGAGTTGACACAATGGCAGAGAACTTTACTCACGAGATCAGGCGCTCTTCAAATTGTGAGCTCAGATTGCTGAACATTTCCTTTCCACTTTCCAGCAGCTTGGAGACCTTGAGGGCAACACAAACCAGAAATGAGTGAGTGCGTCCTGATCATGAGCTTCTCACTCGAAATTCAGAAAATTTATCTGATTTTCAGAATATATGAATATGCATGAGATTCAGTTTCAAACTTTTCTCTATTGAAGATTTCCTTGTGAAAATATAAGACGCTGATTATGTTTATATACGACTCTAGTGGTCCCATTTCAAGATTCTGGCGAGAAGTGTGGTCGAAATTCACAAAGGTTAGCTGATTTCAGTTTCTACATATGCAAAAGATTAAGCTTTAAACTTCTCCCCAGAGAAGATTTCAGCTGAAAACTGCTTTGCTCTTGGCGCTTTGGATTTTGAACAAAAGATTTCTGAAATTCCAGACGGTATTCGCTCTACAATACCATGATTTGTGCACTTAAAAAGTTTACTAAATATTTCCAGGTATCGTCTGAAAATTACATGGAAGATATGAGCCTGTGGAGTAATTAAGCTAGGAATTTCCACTGCTTTTGTCGTCTCCCCATCCGATGGAATTATGCATTACTTCATAAAAAAATAAGACCAAAGTGCAAAAGCAATTTAATTGATGTACGTGAAACAGTCAATTAATTAGCAAAACGTGGATCATCCAAGCCATTTATCTAGGAACTAGAACAAAAATTATCTCAAAAATAGTAGGAAGAAGAAAAAAACGAAGACAGAGAGCTGATAAAGGAAATGTCGACGAAGACCTGATGAGTGAAGCGCTCGATCCTCTCAAGAATCGATTGGATGCTAGACTCCATCTCTTCTGACGCTGCTGCTGCTGCTTCGTTTGTCTCCTCCTCCTCCTTAACCGCTTCCTCATCATCAAATCCACCTGCTACTTCTTCCTCCTCTTTTCCTCCTCTGCTCTCGCCTCCCTCCTGTTCCCAAATCCAATAAAAAAAAATCAAATCAGATCAGATCAAATACAGAGATCTAGATCTCTAATTTCCCGCCAAAATGTCGAACGTAACCACGGGATCTCTACCGCTGCTGTCTTGATTCGCTTGCGTGACGCCTCCATCTCTTGTTTCATCTGGAAAGTTCCGGAATATCTGCCAAAGACACAAAAAAATGGTGACATTTTAGTGAGAAATCGTTCAAGATCGCTTTGAATTGCATAAGATCTGATGGAAATGAGGCAGATCGTAGATCAGCAATTAGATCGGCTGAGACCTGAAGCTAATAAACAAGTAACGGAGCAGGATGCTTAGGGAATTGAAAGGTCAGATCATCGAGAGATAGTGAAGAAACCCATGGAGAGATCGTGGAGACGCGGTGGTTGGAGTTATACCTCGTGATTCTGAAGAGATCGCAAGAGCTGTGAGCTATCTGATGGCGTTCCTAGGGTTTAGAGATCCAAATCCTGGAACAAAAAAAAAAAAGAAAAAAAGAAAGAGAGAGAGAGATACAATTATCTGTCCATCGAACTAATAGGGACAAATAGACGGAAAACTAATGGATGAAATAATCGCGCGGAAACTAATACCACAGAAGATTATTGAAGTGAGACGAGAGAGAACAGAGATTGTTGAAGAATTCCCAAATTTTGAACGCTGAGACTGGGAGGGAGATACGTCTATTTATAGAACGGGTTGGTGATGGCGCGCGGGATCTTCCCCAGTTTGGCAGCAGCGGAGGAGCTGTCAAGTGTCATACCCTTACCTCGAAATTAGAATGTTACCACCCCTCTTGTTCCTTTAAAAAGCGTTTGACAAAACAATCCAAAATATTACAATACAAAACACTACAAACACATG